AAAAATTTAAACTCTCTACCTTACCCCCCCTTCTCTATCTCTAAAACCCCACCCACCCCCCCCTAAATCCCACACCACCACCCCCAACCACACCCCACCCCACGCACACCACAGCACACAACACACCAAAAACACCACGCACGCGCACACCACACACACACACCACACCCCCCAACACCAACACCACACCCCACCCCCCACCCCACACCACACACAACCAAAAACCCCACACACCCCCACCACACCCCACCCACCCCCAAAACACACCACAAAAAACCCCCAACACACCACACACACACCCCCCAACCCCCACACCACACCACACACCACACACACCCCACACACACACACCCACACACCCCCCCCCAAACACACACCCCAAACCCCAACACACCACACAACAACCACACACACCCACCACACAACCACACCACACCAAAACCCCACACCACACACACACACACACCACACCAACAACACACCACACACACAACACCACAAAACACACACCAAAACACACACACCCACACACCACAACACCACACCACAAAACCACACACCACACCACACCACACACACCACCCACCCCACACCACACAACCCACACACACACCACACACCACACCCAAACACACACCCCCAACACCCCACCACACAACCCCACATACACCACACATACACCACATACCCCACACCACACACACACCACCCCACACACCACACACACACACACACACACCCACACACACACCACTACACAACCACACACACACCACACACACACCACACACACCCCACACACACACCACACACACACCACCCTGGTCACGACCGGGCGCGGGGGCGTTGACCCCGAAAACTCCTCTCTCCCAAAACACCCACACACCACACACACCCCAACCACACAAAAACACCACACACACAACCACACAAAACACACACCACACACAACACACCACACACAAAACCCACACACCCCACCCCCACACACCAACCCACACACCCAAAACCACACACCACACACCACACACACCCCACACACACAACACACCCCACACCACAACACAACACACACACAACACCACACCACACACACCCCACACAAAACCAACACCCACACACACCACCACACACACCACAACACCCCACACACCACACACACACACACCACACACACACACCCCCACCAAAACCCCAAAACACACACCCAAACCCCACCACACACACCACCCACACCAACACCCCCACACACAACCCCAACCCCACACCACACACACACCCCACACACACCACACACACCCACACCACACCCACCCACCACACCCCACCACACACACCCACCACCCCACACACCCCACACCCCCACCACCCACACCCCCCCACAACACACACCACACCACACCACCACACCACCACACACACACAACCCCACACACACCCCCAAAAACCAACCCCCACACACCCCCACACCCCAAAACACCCCACCACACACCACACCCCACACAACACCACACACACCAACACACACACACACACACACACACACAACACACACACCACCCACAACACCAAAACCCCCACCCACACACACACACACACCACACACAACACCACAAAAACACCAACACCAACCACCACAACCAAAAAAAAAAACCACAAAAAAAAAAAAAAAAAAAAAAAAAAACAAAAAAAAAAAAAAACCCCCCCCCAAAAAAAAAAAAAAAAAAAAAAAAAAAAAAAAAAAAAAAAAAACAACCACCCCCCCAAACCCCAAAACCCACAAAACAAAAACCACCAAAACCCCCAACCAAAAACCACACAAAACCACACACCCCCCAACACCCAACCCACCCCACACACACCACACGCACCACCACACACCCACACCACCCACCACACACACCACACCACCCACACACCCCCAACACACACCACACACCCCGACACCACCACCCCACACACACCCCACACCCCCCACACACACCCCCCACAACACACCCCACACACAACCACAAACCCCACACACCCCACACACCCCACACTACACCACCCCACACCACCCCCCCAAAACCCCACACACACCACCCCACCAACCCAACCACACACACCCCAACACACACCAACCACACCCCACCACACACACACCCCAAAACCACACACACAAACTAAACCCCTAACACACCCACAAAACAACCGCAACCAACCCCCACACCCCCCACACACGCACCACACACCCCCCAAAAAACCACACACAGAACCCCAAACCCCCCACCAACCATCCCCACCCCCACCCAGCACCAAAACACCCCACACCCCGCACCAACCCCCCCCCCAACCCCCCACCCCGCCCCAACCCCAAACACACGCCCCACACACGCACCAACACCCCCAAACCCCACCCACCACCCCCCCCGCACCACACACGCACCACACACCCCCACCACACCCCAAAACTGCATGAACCCCTGTCTTCTAAAAAATTATTTTTTACCCCTTTTTTTTGGGGGTTTTTTCCCTTTTTTTTTGGGGCTTGATGCACAACCCCTGAATGGAAACCATCTATAGTGATTTTCTTTCAATATTTTTTGACTTTTTTTCCCCAAAAAAAACCTTTTTTTGGGGTTTTATTTTATGCAATTTAAATATGGATGGAAATCAATATTTGGAGGGAGGGCCCTCTGAAACAAAATAAGCAAAAATTTTTAAAACAAATTTATATTTCGTAAAACAGAATTGTGCAATGTTATACTTTAAATTTTTTTTTAACCTTAAAAAATTTACGATTTTGAAAAAAAAATTTCCTGTGTATGGGGGGGGGGGGGGGTTTTATGAATTTTTTGGTCTAGATTGGATGCATTTTTCGGGGTTTAAATAAAACAAGAGAAGTGAAGTGGGTGATTTAAAAAATTTGTGGGGGTTTAAGTTGGCAAAGGGGTGTCAATTTTCGACAACAGCCCTTTTTAAATGTCTTTAAAGGAGTATGTTTTTTTTTAAAAGCTTATTGATGACAAAAATTTTTGATTTTTTTTTCAATTTTTTTTCTTTGTCTAACAGAATACCAAATAGTGTTTTGTCAAGTTTTTTTGTACCCCTGTGCACTAGATTTTATTTCAAGGTATTTTAGTACATTGGGGACTGGATGTATCTCAAGGGATTTTAGTGCATTTTGGGACTGGATATAATTTTTTTAAGGGTTTTTTTAGTACATACCAAGAAAACCCGGGGGAAAGCATCGCCCCTCGACTAAACCCACTGTTCAATATAAATTGATAGATACTTTTATTTTTTTATTGCTTCGGTCCTTCAACACTGTTCAAAGAATTGATAATTTATATTAGAATTGCTTGAAGGAGTGATACTTGGAGCACTAGAAATAAGTTACATTGTTTGACATTCTTGGGTTATTCTAGGTTAAATGTACATAGTGTGCTTTTTGGCTGAATTCCACTCTCAGTATAAAAAAATAGTATAAAAAATTGGAATAAATAGGGTATTTTGCTGCCAGTTCCACATACTTTACTTTCAAGGCGTAGTAGTCCTCAAAATGTAGAAACAGGTTACCTTGTTTAACTGTGTTACCTTATCCCATAAAAAAAAAAAAAATTAATATCCATGGTAACAGAACTCCACTCTTAGTATCATGAAATTGTAATAAATTTGGAACAAAAAAGGCAATTCCTACCAGTTCCAGACCCTGTTTGTGGCAAGACAGACCTGTTGTATTGTTTAAATGCTTCTCTGAAGCACTGCTTCTCATGGTGCACTTCATGGACCCACCTGGGTTTTTCTCAGGCATGAGAACATGGTAGGGCACCCAGACAGTTGATCTAAGCCCTAAAATGGGTATGTAATGCCAATTTTAGGCCAGAAAATTGTGTGGTGGTGCATTGAACACAGCCTGGTCCCCTGTGTACATTAGTATACTATACAGTTTAAGGATTCATGGTGAGTTCTTTGGGAATTGCTTCAGAGCCACCACATTCATTAAGAGCCATGATTTTGATTACTGAAGTTATGTTCAAATAGTACCATGCATGCAGTATTATAGTATACATGTATTTGATTATGAGGAAGAAAGTGTTTGTGGTTTGAGCCAAGCAGTATATAAAGTTTTTATAATGCAGATATACTGCACCTGCAATTGATAGCATCACATTTCCTTGTCCCTGGTATTGTTTTTCTTCATGTGTGTGGGGGAGGGGGGAGAAGAAGTGGGAGATCTTTTTTGCTTTGTCAGTTGCCTTTTATAATAAAAATACTCAATTTTTTTGTTTCTAAAAGTTACGCAGTTTTTAAAAAATTTAGTGACATTTCACACATGGAAAGCCCTAATTATGCAGAGCATTTTAGGCAGACCAAACGATAAGTTAAATCTAGCTTAAAAGTATTTTAAAATTTCTGTGTGGTAGCTACTGGATGGGCAGAATTCTGATCCACAGGACTACTTAGCATCTCCTATACTACTGTACTTAAAATTTCTGTTAACTGAAGTCTCTTGATCATATTACAATAATTTCAGATAGTCATACAGTATGTATATTACTGTGGTGTATCATTTATCCTGGATGAACATCACTGAGAGTTTACAGTGATACATTAAGTACATTATAACTGCAGTTTAATTAAGGCTTCTATATTTTTTTTTATATTTGCTATCATGTTAAGGTAACAATTTGAATTATTAATACCATATGTTCAGAAAAATAACAAAGTGAGTTTTTTAATGAAAGTCTACTGAAAGTTATCCATTTTTTCAGGGTAAAGTTTGGTGTATCGCTGGAACAGGTATGCAAGAATGACATCCCTGGGCCTTTGTTGGTGCTCATCCTCAAGCTAAACAAAGAAGGACCCACCAAGAAGGACGTCTTTCGTGCCCCAGGTCATCAGGGATCCATGAAAAAATTGATACACTTCTTGCAGAATGGACGTCTTGTTAACATAGGTGTGCTGTTACAGTTTTACGATTATGTTCTGTCAATTTTTTTTCCCAAGAGGTGCTACTTATACTTGTCAGGATTTTTTTTTTTTTTTTACCACACCATCCATCTCCCAGTAAAGCAGGGTGACCTAAAAAGAAATAAACACATTCACCTTCAGTCATTCACTAGCTGTCTACAGAAGTGAACAGGTATTATTCTAATCATGGAGAGGTGCTGATCCTGGAGGGGTCATACAGCAATTGAGAAATGGGAGGCAATCAGGTTTGATCAGAGTAAGAGAAGTGAATCTTCAGTTTCTTGTATCAAGAACTTTTCAATGACAATGAGGCAGCTCCTTTGAAGGGAATTTGGGAACAGGCTGTAGTTGCCCAATCAAGGACTGATGTTGGAGAATACTGTATGGTTACCTCTTCCTCAATGAGGATTCTTTTCTTTGACTTGCACCACTCTCCTATCAAGTCATATTTCTTAAATATGACTGTTTCTTCATGAAATTTCTGTCATTCTTATGTTTGTCATTCTTTTTGCTCTTTCATGCTACTTGTATCAACAAGTACAAAGTGATTCACTAACCAGTATACACTATATGACTAATTCAAACCAGCCTTTACATTGTTTAGCAAGTGTTCCAAATGTTAATTCAGTATTTTTGTTACCAAGTACTGTTGAATCTGAGGTGCTGTAGTGCCGATGAACTTGGCATCTGAACTTAAGTGAAAATGCCTTAAAACATTCTGCTTATAATAAATAATATAATTATGGAAAAGTTTTACTAAATATATTGACAGGAATTCCATGTTTTTTTACATATATAATTTTTTTAAAGTTTTGATATACAGTGGACCCCCAAGTTTCGTGAGCTTCGCACTTCTTGAATTTCGACTTTCACCAACTTTTTTCGTTGAAATAAAGCCTCGTGGTTCGTGATTTTCCTTGCGATTCATCCGTGCAGCCAGGAGCGGCCAGGTGTACACAAAGGCTCCTGCACAACATTCAGGAGTCAGTGTGGCATTGTTTGTGGGTGAGTGACCATAACCCCACGCGTTCATACGATACATTTTGTAATATTTCATTCTTTTTTGGTAGACAGCAACCACCCAGGGAGGTACTACCGTCCTGCCAAGTGAGTGTAAAACGAAGCCTGTGATTGTTTTACATGATGGTAGGATTGCTGATGTCTTTTGTCTGTCTCATAAATATGCAAGATTACAGGCATGTCTTGCTACTTCTACTTACACTTACGTCACACTACACATACATGTACACATTTATTTATACACACTCATCTGAGTTTTCTTTGATTTTATCTTAATAGTTCTTGGTCTTATTAATTTTCCTTTTATATCCCATGGGAAGTGGAATAAGAATCTTTCCTCCGTAAGCCATGCGTGTTGTAAAAGTCAACTAAAATGCCGGGAACAATGGGCTAGTAACCCCTTTTCCTGTAAAGATTACTAAAAAGAATAAGAAGAAGAAATTGTCAAAGGGGGAAGTCTGAATGTGCGTGGATGTTTTTGCAGATGATAAAGAAAGAGATGATTGTGGATGTTATGAATGAGAAGAAGCTGGATGTCCTGGCTTTAAGTTTAAACAAAGCTGAAGGGGGTGGGAGAGTTTCAGTGGAGAGGAAAAAAATGGGATTAGGTTTAGGGGGTTTCAAATAGAGTTAGAGCTAAAGGAAGGAGTAGCAATAATGTTGAAGGATAAGCTATGGCAGGAAAGTGGGACTATAAATGTATTTAAAATTTAAGGATTATGTGGAGTAAAATAAAGATTGGATGTGAAAAGTGGGTTTATAATAAGCGAGTATGCACCTGGAGAAGAGAGAAGTGTAGAGGAGAGAGAGAGATTTTGGAAATGTTGAGTGTTGGTGGGGAATTTTTTGAATCAAGTGTGAGAGTAATGGTGGTTGGGGATTTTAATGCTAAAGTGGGTAAAAATGTTATGGAAGGGAAGTAGTAGGTAAATTTGGGGGTGCCAGGGGTAAATGTAAATGGGGAGCCTTTAATTGAGGGTATGTGTAGAAAGAAATTTGGTAATAAGTAAATACATATTTTATGAAAAAGAGGATAATAAATATACAAGGTATGATGTAGCACGTAATGAAAGTAGTTTATTAGATTATGTATTTGGGGGATAAAAGGTTGATGGGTAGGGTCCAGGATGTACATTTTTAGAGGGGCAACTGATATATCGGATCATTATTTAGTTGTAGCTACAGTTTTGAGTAGGGTAGATGGGAAAAGAGGAAGGTGGCAACAACAAGTAAGAGGGAGGTGAAAGTGTATAAACTAAGGGAGGAGGAAGTTCGGGTGAGATATAAGCGACTATTGGCAGAAAGGTGGGCTAGTGCAAAGATGATAGTGGGGGGGTTGAAGAGGCTTGGAATAGTTTTAAAAATGCAATATTAGAATGTGGGGCAGAAGTTTGTGGTTTTAGGAGGGTGGGGGCAGGGAGGAAAGAGGAGTGATTGGTGGAATGATGAAGTGAAGGGTGTGATAAAAGAGAAAAAAGGGAGCTTATGAGAGGTTTTTACCCAAAACAGAAGTGTTAAAAAGAAGAGGCAGAGTATATGGAGAGGTAAAAAAAAAGTAAAGAGAGGGGTGAGAGAGTGCAAAAGGAGAGCAGATGATAGAGTGGGAGAGGCACTGTCAAGAAATTTAATGAAAATAAAAAAAATTTTGGAGTGAGTTAAACAAGTTAAGAAAGCCTAGGGAAAATATGGATTTGTCAGTTTAAAAACAGAGTAGGGGAGTTAGTAGATGGGAGATGAAAGGTATTTGGGTAGATGCGAGAATATTTTGAGGAATTTTTAAAATGTTAAGGAAGAAACAGAGGCAGTAATTTCATGCACTGGTCAGGGGGGGTATTCCATCTTTTAGGAGTGGAAGAAGAGCAGAATGTAAGTGTGGGGGAGGTACATAAAGGCATTACGAAAAAAGAAAGGGGTAAAGCAGCTGGAACTGATGGGATCATGACAAAAAATGTTAAAAGCAGGGGGGGATATAGTGTTGGAAGTGGTTCGTACTTTTGTTTAATAAATGTATGAAAGAGGGGAAGGTACCTAGGGATTGGCAGAGAGCATGTATAGTCCCTTTAATAAAGGGAAAGGGGACAAAAGAGACTGGGAAAAATTATAGAGGATAAGCTTACTGAGTATACCAGGAAAAGTGTACGTAGGGTTATAATTGAAAGAATTAGAGGTAAAAACAGAATGTAGGATTTCGGAAAGAGCAAGGAGGTTTTAGAGTGGGTAGGGGATGTGTAGATCAGGTGTTTTTCATTGAAGCATATATGTGAACAGTATTTAGATAAAGATAGGGAAGTTTTTATTGCATTTATGGATTTAAAAAGGCATATGATAGAGTGGATAGAGGAGCAATGTGGCAGATGTTGCAAGTATATGGAATAGGTAAATAAGTTATTAAATGCTGTAAAGAGTTTTTTATGAGGATAGTGAGGCCAGGTTAGGGTGTGTAGAAGAGAGGGAGACTACTTCCCGGTAAAAGTAGGTCTTAGACAGGGATGTGTAATGTCACCATGGTTTTTTAATATATTTATAGATGGGGTTGTAAAAGAAGTAAATGCTAGTGTGTTTTGGGAGAGGGGTGGGATAAATTTATGGGGAATCAAATTCAAAAAAGGGAATTGACACAGTTACTTTTGCTGATGATGCTGTGCTTATGGGAGATTCTAAAGAAAAATTGCAAAGGTTGTGGATGAGTTTTTGGGAAAAGTGTGTAAAGGTTGAAAGTTGAAAGTGAACATAGAAAGAGTAAGGTGATGAGGGTGTCAAATGATTTAGATAAAGAAAAATTGGATATCAAATTGGGGAGGAGGAGTATGGAAGAAGTGAATGTTTTCCCGATACTTGGGAGTTGACGTGTCGGCGATGGATTTATGAAGGATGAGGTTAATCATAGAATTGATGAGGGGAAAAAAAGGTGAGTGTGCGTTGGGGGTATATGTGGAGTCAAAAAACGTTATCTATGGAGGCAAAAAGGGAATGATGAAAGTATAGTATACCAAACCCTTATATGGGTGTGAAGCTTGGGTGGTAAATGCAGGGATCAGGAGATGGTTGGAGGCAGTGGAGATGTCCTGTTTAAGGGCAATGTGTGGTGTAAATATTATGCAGAAAATTCGGGAGTGTGGAAATTAGGAGAAGGTGTGGAGTTAATAAAAGTATTAGTCAGAGGGCAGAAGAGGGGTTGTTGAGGTGGTTTGGTCATTTAGAGAGAATGGATCAAAGTAGAATGACATGGAAAGCATATAAATCTATAGGGGAAGGAAGGCGGGGTAGGGGTCGTCCTCGAAAGGGTTGGAGAGAGGGGGTAAAGGAGGTTTTGTGGGTAAGGGGCTTGGACTTCCAGCAAGCGTGCGTGAGCGTGTTAGATAGGAGTGAATGGAGACGAATGGTACTTGGGACCTGACAATCTGTTGGAGTGTGAGCAGGGTAATATTTAGTGAAGGGATTCAGGGAAACCGGTTATTTTCATATAGTCGGACTTGAGTCCTGGAAATGGGAAGTACAATGCCTGCACTTTAAAGGAGGGGTTTGGGATATTGGCAGTTTGGAGGGATATGTTGTGTATCTTTATATGTGTATGCTTCTAGACTGTTGTATTCTGAGCACCTCTGCAAAAACAGTGATAATGTGCGAGTGTGGTGAAAGTGTTGAATGATGATGAAAGTATTTTCTTTTTGGGGATTTTCTTTCTTTTTTGGGTCACCCTGCCTCGGTGGGAGATGGCCGACTTGTTGGAAAAAAAAAAAAAAAAAACTGCTAAATAAACCACCATGGGTCCAAAGAAAGCTTCTAGTGCCAGCCCTTTGGTAAAGAAAGTGAGAAACACGATAGAATTAAAGAACGAGTTTGAAGAAAAATACGAAAGTGGTGGTGGTAGAGGGTGGTAGTGGTTGTGATGGTGGTAGAGGATGGTTGTGATGGTGGTAAAGGGTGGTAGTGGTTGTGATGGTGGAAGTGATGGTGGTAGTGTTGGTGGTAGAGGATAGAGCTGCAAGAGCTCTCTGGACACCTGTTTTTTTTTTTGTGCGACAGGGGTCCAGTGACTTCTCCTCCATCTTCTCCCCTCCTCCTGTCTTCCATACACCAACAAGAGTTTTCAATAAAGGTAAGTGTGATGTTACTGTACTTGATTTCTCATTCTTTATTGTATGTAAATCCATATTAAATCTATAAAAAAAATAATTTTTGTTAATACTTTTGGGTATCTGGAACAGGATTAATTGGATTTACATTATTTCTTATGGGAAAAATGGTTTTGACATTAATGAATTCCGACTTTAGGCAGACTCTCTGGAACAGTAATTAATCACGAAACTCGGGGGGGGGGGGGGTCCCCTGTAGTTTGGTCATGATGCCTCATTCATGCTGTATGGCAGTGCCATCTGCAATATTTAATGATGAATTTCAGCAGGACTAAAAGATTGCACATTGTCATAATTTTTTCCTCCAGAGTAGAAAAACTGAATGTTCAGCAAATACTGTATTTTGTTTTCATAACAGAAGCTTCATTACCAAAAAAGATTTTTAAAACTGCAGTGGTTCTATTATCCACATTATTCATTCTGTTTCGCAGTTCCATATAATCTTGTCAGATTTTCCAACAGGAATTTATTTACACTTAAAAGATAGGAAAATTTTGTAACTACCAAGCATAAGATTTTATTTTTCTCTGTCCCTTTCTTAACCCTTTGAGGGTCCGTCCCGTAGATCTACGGCTTTACGTTCAGGGTCCAAACCGTAGATCTACGTCATGAGCTCATAAACTCGGATAAACTGTGAGTGGTACATTTGGGCCTAGATATGAGAGAATACATCTATGTGGTATGTGTGCACCACATAAAACAGATCCTGCAGCACGCTGTGTATAATGAGAGAAAAAAACTGAAATCGTGATTTTTCGATTAAAACAGCGACTTTACAGTGTTTTTTCGTATGTTTTTTATAGTTCTATTTGCGATTTCTTGGTCTCATTTGATAGAATGGAAGACATATTACAGAAATAGAGATGATTTTGATTGGTTTTCGTACTGGAAATGGCTTGAAACTGAGCTCAAAGTAGCAGAAATGTTAAATTTTTGCCAATATTCAAGAGTAAACAAACGACCTCACACGTCTAATACACGCCAGCTGGTGGGTCTAATATGCATTCACAAATATGGTGATGATATTTATACAATTATTACAGTATTGCATAACAGTAAATCTTCTATTTTTTGGTGTGAATAAAAATTCTTTGTGAATAAAAAATCAAAATGGAATTTATTTGTAAAGCCTCAAAACGTAACTAATGAACAGAGGAAATGTTAGTTTAGTTCCAGGAATACCTACATTGTTCATTCTGGACCCTATTTTGAAATTGGAATATTTTGAACTTTGTGTTAAATTGGTCAAATTACCAATTTCCGATCACTTTATTTTGTAGTTGAAACGGTTGACTTGGTGATTTCTTGTGCTCAATTGATAGAATAGAAGTAATACTAGTGAAATAGCTAAGAATTTGGTTGACTGGAATAATGTAATTGGCCTAAAATGGGAGTCAAAGTCGGCAAAATCGCCGATTCGTAAATATCGCTGACACATCAAAATTCGCGAGTGCATAATTTCGTCAGTTTTCCATCAAATTTCGTACTTTTTGTTTTATTACCTTCACAAAAAGATTCTCTACCATTTCATAAGAAAAAATAACAATTTTTTTTTTTTTAAATTCTTGGACACTGGGGCACCACTTCAGATTTGGGCCTTGGACCCTGAAGGGGTTAAATTATTAAAAACACGTATTTACTCTCTAGATAAGAAGATAATGTTAAAAATTATATTAGGAAATTTGTGAAGGCAAAATAGTTGATATTAATAATTTGTAATTTATTCACAGACAACTTCTCAGTGTACACAATTGCGTCTGTTTTGAAGAAGTTTCTTAGAAAATTACCAGAGGGCATCTTTGGACGTGAAGGTGAGCAAGAGCTGTTTTCCATCATTCAGCTATCAGACACAGAGCAGCAGCGCGACCACATCCATCGCCTCATTACATCCATGCCAGCTGTCACGCAGCACCTACTTGTTCTGCTCTTTGGCACCTTCAGGTTAATATAAATATATTCTATACAATGTTCCTGTAATAGGCAGAAGGTCAGATCTTCTGAAGTGAAAATAAATAATTTTTTGTAAATACATAATCTGTTATATTTGGGATTTTGCTTTTGGAATGGTTTTTGAAATTTAGAATTTTTCAAATACAAAAGCTTGCCTCTAAGGTTCAACAGCTTTGCTGAGATAGATAGTAAGGCTTTATATGTCTGTTTTTCTTTGTATTAGTGCTATAAAAATTACTTTGGCATGAACTAAAATAGTTACAAAAACTGTAAATTACCAAAAAAGAAAAAAAAAAAAAATTAAGCTTTCTGAATATCCAAACACTAATGGCCAAACCCTCACCATTGGGCAAGTGACTGGTGCAAATTGTACAAACAAGTGTTTGGTTAATATTAAGGAGATTTTGTATTTCAGAGTAGTGTAGTTTCTTTCAACACACTGGCCGTATCCCATCATAGTGTAGTTATATAAAAAATATGCTAATTGACTGAGTGATCAAGTTAGCCATTGGATAGGCTGGGTCTTGGTGGGGCTCCACAATGTGAACATGAAGTAGGGTCTGGCTTAGATAATATGGTGGTGGCTGCCAGTGACTACAGGTTTCTGATTGGTTGTGTTAATTGTGCCTGAGTATGGTAATCTGCTCTAATGTGATTGGCTGTTATGAACTAAATTTCCCTCATACCTTACATAAGGCAGGGAAAGACAGCCCCTGTGTCGGTTGTCAGCGAGTCTCCAGTCAGTAAGCCAACAAAGAACAGCAGCCTGCACTGAAATACCATACATAGTGGTCAGTGTGTTGGTGCTGAGGATGTGCAATTAGTAACAGTGTTAGAAACTGTATCTACAAGATAAAGATGGGGTTTCAGAAACTGTAGCTGTAAGACAGCAGCAGTAGTGGTGGTGGTAGTATCAGAAACTGTAGCTGTAAGGCAGCAAAAGTGGTGGTGGTGGTGTCAGAAACTAGCCATAAAATAGTGATAGTGTTATCAGAAACTGTAGCTGTAAGACAGTGATAGCGGTGTTACAAACTGTAGCTGTAAGACAGCAGTGATTTTGTCAGAAACTGTTGTTGTAAGATGGCAATAGTGGCAGTGTTGTCAAACTGTAGCTGTGACAACTCGTGGAATCGTAATAACACAGAACGGGTGGGGCTTGAACCCATGTCAAATGAGTCCAAAAACTTGCAGGCTGGTATGTTAACCAATGGACCAACTGGTTCTAGTAGTTAGCACACTGGCCTGTGAGTTTTAGGACTCCTACCATGAGTTTGAGCTCCTCTTGTTCGGTGGAGTGTAACTGTAAGACAGCGTTAATGATAATTTATCAGAAACTGGAGACTTCAATTAGTGATAATGAATGGTAGTGCTGTGAGAAACTACATCTCTAATAGTGATAGTGTAATGAAAGAAACAACCATAATTTAGTGTTGACTGTTGATATAGTTCCATTTGACAGTGATACAGAAGTTATCTCTGAAATAATGTCGAGTGGGACTGCAACAGTAATAATCTGTGGTGTAGGGCAATCAGAATACAGTGGACCCCCGAGTTTCATCGGCATCGACTTTCGGCAAGTTTTTTTTGGCAAAATTTAGGCTCATGGTTCGTGATTGGACTCGTGATTTGGTGACTGTCCGGTACGCATCCGCCCGTCACCCACCCACAAAGCCAGTCTCCCGCACCATTCACACTCAGTGTGCCATTGTTTACCAGCACGTGATCATCACCCCGCGGGTTCATACAAAACATTTCATAATACAATCCATTGTTTTTTGTGCTTGCAATTGCTAAATAAGTCACGATGAGCCCAAGGAAAGCTAGTGCAAGCCCTTTGGTAAAGAAAGCGAGGAACACGATCGAATTCAAGAAGGAAATAATTGAAAAATATGAGAGTGGAGTGCGTGTTACAGAACTTGCCAGGATGTATGGCAAACCCCATTCAACCATCACTTCGATTGTGGCGAAGTGAAAGGAAATACAGTGGACCCCCGGTTAACGATATTTTTTCATTCCATAAGTATGTTCAGGTGCCAGTACTGATCGAATTTATTCCCATAAGGAATATTGTGAAGTAGATTAGTCCATTTCAGACCCCCAAACATACACGTACAAACGCACTTACATAAATACACTTACATAATTGGTCGCATTCGGAGGTAATCGTTATGCGGGGGTCCACTGTAGTGTGCTGTTGTTGCAAAAGGGGTAGATATGCTGACAAAAAGAGATCTCAAATCCTTGAAGTGGAAAGGTTATTGTTGGTGTGGATTACCCAAAAACAGTTAGCAGGAGATAGTATTATGCACTCGATAATATGTGAAAAGGCAAGGCAGTTGCATGACGATCTCGTAAAGGAAATGCCTGCAACGAGTGGTGATGCTTGTGATTTTAAGCCAGCAAAGGTTGGTTTGAGAGATTTAAGAAGTGTAGTGGCATTCACAGTGTGATAAGGCATGGTGAGGCTGCCAGTTCTGACAAAAAAGCAGCTGAAAAGTTTGTACAGGAGTTTAAGGAGTGCGTAGACACTGGAGAATTCAAACCCCAACAAGTGTTTAATTGTGACGAAACAGGCCTCTTTTGGAAGAAAATGCCAAAGTGGACCTATATCACGCAGGAGGAAATGGCACTCCCAGGACACAAGCCTATGAAGGATAGGCTTACTCTCATGTTTTGTAGTAATGCAAAGTGAAGCCTTTACTGGTGTCACTCTGAAAATCCCAGTGTGTTCAAGAAAAACAGTGTCGCCAAGAGTAACTTGTGTGATGTGGAAGGCTAACAATAAGGCATGGGTCACAAGGGGAATTTTCCTAGACTGGTTTAATGAAGTGTTTGGCCCCAGTGTGAAGAAATAATTCCTGGAAAATAAATTGCCACTCAAGTGCCTCCTGGTAATGGACAATGCTCCTGCTCATCCTCCAGACTTGGAAGAGTAAATAGTGGAGGAGTTTAGTTTCATCACGGTCAAGTTCTTGCCCCCTAATACAACTCCTCTCATCCAGTCCATGGACCAGCAGGTCATTTCAAACTTCAAAAAACTGTACACCAAAGCAGTGTTTCAAAAGTGCTTTGAAGTGACCTCAGACACTGAATTGACCCTAAGAGAGTTCTGGAAAGATCACTTCAGTATCCTCACTTACATAAACCTTATAGGCAAGGCTTGGGAAGGAGTGACTTGCAGAACTTTGAAATTCTGCTTGGAGAAAATTGTGGCCAGAATGTGTACAAGAGAGGGATTTTGAAGGGTTTGGGGTTGACCCTAAGGAGCCTATGCCAGTTGTGGAATCTATTGTGGCATTGGGGAAGTCCCTGGGGTTGGAGGTGAGTGGCAAGGATGTGGAAGAGTTGGTGGAGGACCACAGGGAAGAGCTAACCACTGAAGAGCTGCAAGAGTTTCATCTGCAACAGCAAGAGATCACAGCTCAGGAAATTGCTTCAGAGGAGGAGGAAGAGATATGGAGGAAGGTGCCTTCTTCAAAGATTAAGAGCATTTGTGCAAAGTGGACTGAAGTGCAAACATTTATGGATGAAGCTCACCCTGATAAAGCTGCCATATTGGCAACATGTACAATGACAGTGTTGTGTCCCACTTCAGACAAATCTTAAAGAAACGCCAGAAACCGAGCTCTCTGGGCAGATATTTTGTGCGACAGGGTTCCAGTGACTCAAGTTGTTCCCAGTGTCTTTAACCCTTTGAGGGTCGACAGGCCCTCTCCGAGACTTGTTCTCAGGGTCGGCCAAATTAAAAAAAAAAATTATTTTTTCTTATGAAAAGATAGAGAATCTTTTCCCGATCATAATGACACCAAAAGTATGAAATTTGATGGAAAACTTACGGCATTATGGTCTCGCAAAATTAGCGGTCTCGACGATGTTTACGCATCGGCGATTTTACCCACTTTGAGCCCTATTTTCAGCCAATTCCAGTGAACTAGTCAACAAAAATCATAACTATTTCTCTAGAACTCCATTTTTTCTATTGAATGAGTACAAGAAACCACCCATTTACTGATTTCAACTATCCAATACAGTGGTCATAATTTAGCAATTTTGCCAATTTCACACAAATTTCAAAAGATGCCAATTTTTAAATAGGGTCCAGAATAAACAAGAAAGACATTCCTGGCACTAAAATAATATTTCCTCTGTTCATTTGTCACATCCCCAGGCCCCTCATATTTCTTTGGCTGTCCACTTTCAATTTTTATTCTTACAAAAAAATAGAAGATTTACTGTTATGCAGACTGCTGCATTAGTGTAGAAATGGTATAAATAATATCAGCACACTTGTGAAAGAATATTATACTCACCAGTTGACATGTATTGGACGCTTGGCATGATTTGTTTACTTTTGAACTTTGGTAAAAATCGAACATTTCTGCTACTTTGAGCTCAATTTCAAGGTACTTTTCATTGTAAAACCAGTCAAAATCATCTCAATTTCTGTAATATGTCTTCCATTCTATAAAATGAGACAAAGAAAACTAGAATACAACAATAAATACCATGTGAAAATACAGTGCAAAGTCGCTGTTTTAATCCAAAAACACGGTCAAATTTTTTTTTTCTCATTATGCACTGTGTTCTGCAGGATTTTTTTTATACTGCGCACACTGACCCCACAGACCCATTCTTTCATATGTATGCCTACCAGCTTTCTCCCACTAGAATTTAGGCGTACTAGTACGTCAAAAACCCTGGGTCATAAGCCGTACTAGTACGGCCGAAACCCCTCAAAGGGTTAAAGAACAAAGAAGGGAAGTAATCCCAGATAAGGGCTTCGTACCTGAAGTCCTAATGGAAGGAGATTCTCATTCCAAACAATAGTGTACACCTTCCTCCTATCCCGTCTTCCATCCACCCAGAAGTCTTCAGTAAAGGTAAGTGTAATGTTGTTATTATTTTATATATGTATGTACAGTGGAACCTCAAATTTCAAACTTAATCCATTCCAGGAGCTAGTTCTAATTCGAAAAGTCTGAAATTCGAAGCAATATTTCCCATAAGAAATAATGGAAATACAATTAATCCATTCCAGAAACCCAAAAATATTCACAAAAAATAATACATTTTATAGAGATTAATTAGTTTTACATACACACAACAAATGCTATAGTCTTTAATTATGTATAGTAATATAAAATAACATTTTTACTTACCTTTATTGAAGATTGGTGATGGCATCTGGAAGATAGGGAGGAGGGAGGGAGGGAGTTGGGGTTATTATTTGGAAGGAGAATCCCCCTCCATGAGGACTTCCGGTATCAAAGCCCTCTCTGGGGTTGCTTCCCTTCTCTGTATTTTAATGCCACTAGGACCAGCTTGAGTCATTGGACCCCAGTCTCACAAAATAACATCTACAGTCCTCTGTTTCTGTCTCACAAAATAACTATCCAGTCGTCCATTTGTCTCTCAAAATAACTGTCCACAATTGTTTGTTTCTCACAAAATAACTCCACAGTCGTCTGTTTCTCTCCAAAATAACTGTCCACAATCGTCTGTTTCTCACAAAATAACTCCACAGTTGTCTGTTTCTGTCTCAAAATAACTCTACAGTCGTCTGTTTCTGTCTCACAAAATAACTGTCCACAGTCCTCTGTACATCCTGGCAAGCTCAAAAAGTCTCACTCCAATCTCATACTTCTGTATTATTTCCTTCTTCACATCTATGGTGTTTCTCACTTTCTTTACCACAGGGGTACCACTAGCAAGTTTCTTTGGGCCCATGGCAGCTTATTTCACAGCCCCACAAGCACTAAACACAATTAAATAATCGTAAAATGTGTGAATGAGATCGCAGGTTAGTGTTCATTCAAGCATAAACAAAGCTAGACTGCTCACGGGGCTTGCGCGGGGACGCGGACAGAGCGAACCAGCGGACAGGTCCTGTACCCGGCGGTCCGAAAATAGGGGCGCGTTCGATAATAGGGACACAATTTGTCCGAAAAAATGGTCTTATTTTCGAAACGTTCGATATGCGATAAGTTCGATTTTTGAGGTTCCACTGTACTTGATTTCTCATTGTTTTCAGTATGTAACTCTTTATTTAATTTGAAAAAAAATATTTAAATTTTGGGTGTCTGGAACGGATTTATTTTATTTCTATTATTTTTTATGGGGAAAATGGTTTTGCCATTCAGCAATTTCATCATTCGGCAGACACTCTGGAATGGATTAATCACGAAACTCGGGGGTCCACTGTACCAGTTGGAGAAATGTAACTGCTGTTATCCAAAACATTTAAACAAATACTTTGAGCAATGTATTTTCTTCTTTCTCTGTTCCCTCTGTAAAGCTGTTAAGCATTTTTAACTGTTTAAGTCCACTATCCTTCATATGCACACGTGTGAAAGCGTCCAGATGCGAGGATGGTGGTTCACAACAATGTTATAAGTGGGCTGAATATTTTTGTTGGAACCAATATCTTTCCACAAGTTTAATACTTGTCTGAATACTGCCTCGGTGATGTTACCATTTCTTGGACCTAACTTTCAGTGGGGTGTAGTTGTACATTAGTGATATTCCACCAATTTTTTCCCAAATCTTTCTATTCATATATCTTCTTTCAGTTTGATTTCAGAGAGACACATATTAGGTTCCTATTTCATTTGTCAGGTTGTTGTCTTTTTGAGGTTACCCTATCTATGTCTGTATTAGTGTTCATTAAATCTGTTAGTTGTCTTGGTTTTCATTTGCATTTCTTTTCTGTCTTCTGGTGTAATCTGAGAGCCCATTTGAATTTTTCTCCAGAAATTTGAATTAGATTTGGACCGTTGAAGAAATTTGGATGTTAGTTTTTGTATGTTGACTTGTGAAAGTGTGAATACCTCTTTTGGTTCCCTTCAGTTCTTCAACTTCATTATCAATTTATGCTGCACTATTAGTCATGTGCATTGAGACCCAGGGGACTTTGGTTATGGTATGCAGGAATACTTTTCTCTGATTTTGCAGTGACTGAAATACATAGTTATTTTAATTTGATTGTCACCTCAGGATGCCTGTTTACACTATAATGCTAATATGGCCTGTCTGTGACCTGCATTGGGTCAGTCACTGGCTTCTTGTCATTCCCACTTGAGTATTTGACTATTATTGTACTCTTGGGTACTGTGGCCGTTTCACCAATGTGTGGTTTAATGGTTACTCATGTTTTGTTTGTGCATGCAAAAGTTTTAAAGAAAAAAAAATGCACTTAAGCAAGGTAGGTGAGAAGGAATAAAGGAGTGATAAGGAACAAGTGACTGATAGTGAATTAGAAGGCTTTATAGTATAGTATTGTCTTGTCTTTGGCTAAGAGGATAATAAGTATGAAAGTGTCATGAAATATTTATTAGGATGGAGCTAAATAGGACAGCATGATTAATGAATTGATTATGCAAGTAAACAATGAACCACAAAGATTCATTTCTTTCTAAGTTACAAAATAATTTATAATTTTAAGTTATGGTATCAGGGTTGTGTTCAGAAATTTAGTGTATTCTAGTTCTCGTCAATTAGAATGATGGCAAAGGATTCATAAATTATATGATCCCACTATTACTATATATAATACTGATTTTAAACAGCATAATTTAAAGCCACAACACTTAGACTAATGTTGCAGAAGTTTTTTAAGTGTCCAAAAATTGAGGAGAAAAATCAGCGTAGACTACAAAACCAAATTTAGAAATATATGCTGAACATTAATATTTTTTTATATTAAGTTATGCATTTATTTACTTACCTATTTTTTGTGTATAGAGCATATACCAGTAACATTTTATTTGTTATGAATGCTTACCAAATCTTTTCTTTCAACAAACCGGCCATATCCCACCGAGGTAGGGTGGCCAAATATGGAAATATAATTATTATTAATTATTAAATTATTAAACAAGATAAATGTAATTCTGTTTTAGCCTGAAAGTGAAGTTGTTGCCAATAATTTCTTTAGAGGTCTGAAATGTGCATAATATCTGAATACTTGTTGCAACAGAGTGATAGCCATGAATGCAGGTAGAGCGCAGACAGGGATGACTTCAGAGGCCTTAGGTGTGTCGGTTGCACCCTCCTTTTTCCAGTCATGCGTGGCAGATGGCAAAACAGCGCGCATGGAAGATGTTATCCGCTTCAAGGTAATCCTGAATTTCTTTTTAATGCCATATGTCAAGCTTACTCAACCTGTGAAGTGATATAGCTCATTAATGTTAACTTGAGATTCTTTCTGCTGTGTATACATTGGATGGAAATGGGTTCACTTACATTTTCAGTTGTTTACAAGGTGGTGATGACAGTTGTGTATTTGCCGTGAAGAATGTGTGTGTATGACTGGAGGATAAATGAGGTCCCAAGTGATTGATAGTAAATTGAAGTAGATTACCCTTGTATCATTTTAAGAATATTTCTGGAAATGTGTATGGTATAGTTTGAACTGAGAGGGTAATGGTAAAGAAATTGGCCTTGTCGGATAAATGAGCAACAAGTTTTTACATAATATTTGGTAGAGGATGTGTAGACGAGATAGTTTCTAGAGTTATAAGAAAAATCTATAGGAAAGCTAGACTTGAGTTCTGGAGGTGGGAAGTATAGTGCCTTGTACTGAAGGTTAGGTAGGGATGATGTAGGTCTCATGCTCATGAATTATTATGTCCTTGCATATCCGGTAAGACAGCTGTTGAACAAATGATGATAAATGTGTTTACTTCTTTGGGTCTCGGTAACTTTGTGAGGAAAAAAAATTTCTGGAAAAAATTTAGTTGCCTTAATTGATGTAAACATGGATACTTGCCTTATGGGTGATTGAAAAAGTTGTGCAAAAACCTATATGTATTCACACATTTGGTTTGCAGGGGTTGAGTTTCAGCTCTTGCCCCTGCCTCTCCATTTACCACTAACCAGATTCACTTTCTCCTAACCTTGTGGGCCCTATTGTACTTATTCTTAAAGCTGTTTGGAGTCTGCCTCCACTACCTTTTCATTAAGGTCGTTCCAATTCCTGACCACCCAGAGACTGAATAAACACTTCCTTATATCCCTATGACTCGTCTGTCTCTAACCTCCATCTGTGGCCCTGAGAACCTGTTTCCTGCCTCTCAGACAGACTAGTCTCTATCAATTCCTCATAGCATTTTGTATTACCATGTCTTCCATAAGTTTTCTGTTTTCCAGAGTTGTTAGATTAAATTGCTTTAGCCTCTCTTTGTACCTCATACCCTTCAGTTCTGGAACTAGGCTTGTTGCATGTCTGCACTTTCTCTAGTTTCTTAACATGCTTCCTCTGGTGTGGGTTCCATACTGGTGCTTGTGTACAGAAGTAACCAAATGGAAACTTAGGATGGGTAAAGATGTTGAGAATCAGAGGATCATTTAAATTGCAATACTCATTCATTTCTTGCAAGAGAACTATTGATGGTGAATGTGTTTCCTTCTCTGAATCGCCTGGTTTTGGTGGATTTAGGCTGCTGTAGTTAAAATAGTAAGTTGGAAGGGAGTATTATTCAGGAAGTGTGTAAATGATGATAAATCGCATACATGTTCATAGGTATACTTGTCTTCAGATTGTTGATCTTACATTTTGAACCCAGTACTTTCACTTGTGACAAGCAGGTTGAGTATTGCTTCTTGATTTTTTCATATTTGAATCACTAGATATGCATTCCATTATTTTGCTTGATTCACTACTGCAGCATAGACAAGCTTGATTGTGAATGTTTATCTGTCATGGAGCTTGATTATTTTACAATAAGTTTGCTGAATTGCCATCAATATGCTGTCCATATTATTTGTTAAAGTGCTTCAGGCTAATTCTAGACTGGATGGCAGTTTTTTATTGCATAAATAAATATTTCAGGGAGAATTTAAAGCGTGAAGTAGAATGAATTAATATATCAAGCAGACATTTCTATCAATTAAAAGCTAACATTTTTGCAGCATGATAATTTGCACTTATTAAACTTTCAAACTGCTCCTCATGAGTGTGGTTTAGATGAGCCTACTAGGTCAGAGAAATACTGTTTATATATTTTATTTTTGTCTTGTGTGAATATAGTTCAAATGCACAGTTAACATTTTATTTTAGTCATTCTGTTACTGGCTTTATTTGATATGTTCACTTTTAAAACAAAGTATATGTTGTATGGATGACAAATCTGTAATATTTAAATAAAAGTTGTAGAAACTTGACCAACCTGAAAGATGTCAGGGTATTTTATTCCAATATATTTTAATTAAGATTTTACACTAAAAATATCTGGCCACACTTAGAGGAACTCCACATTGTATATCATCTTTGTGTGAACTTAGGAATTTATTGTATGCATGATGTTTGGGCCAGCATGAAATTTATTAATTATTAAAATACGTATTAATCCTTTTAAAAGTGTGTTTTAAAGATACTGTTCAAAGGGAAAATAATACATTATCCATGCATAGCAAGAATTCTGCACTCCAACATTAATATTGTATATTACTCACTATAGGAGTGAAGAGTCCCACTTGGCTCAAGGTACACATTATTATATAGGCATTGTAAGTAAATAATTGTTGTTATTCTGTGTCCCAACATCCCAGTATCCGTAGTAGAATCTTATGTTGACATCTCATCCTTTTTTTCTTTCTTTTTTCGTTTTTGTGCCCCGTAAATTCCCTGGGACGAATTTAGGCAGAGGTTGATGTAAGTACTCCTTCCCACCGTTCCCTCTAGGTGTCTGGTTTTTTAATGCAACGTAGATGTTTGAGCTGGTTTTTTATTTGGTATTATATCCACCCCCAGGCCTACATAAGAGATTATTGGCTTGACCAATTAAGGGTTCTTAGGCATGAGTAAGAGGAAGAACAGAAGATAGTACCTCATAATCTTTTGGGTGGCACTAAAGTTTAAATTTTGTTAGTTTTCCATATAAAATTAATGATCATTAAAAAATGCTCATTATTATGATTGTGGATATTTTTTTACAGTATGTAAAGGGAAGTGAGCCCAGATATTTGATTAAATGAGGATGAGGATTATCACCTGTTATCCTTCAACATTGTGATACCTACTTGATGCATGATGTTGGGAAATTTCACAGACTTAGCCAATTTATACTTGACTTTCAGGGAATAAAATAATTTTGTGAAATTTGCAGATATAGCTTTTTCTCAAATATTTATTAAAACACATGCACATCACATACATTGCAAACAAGATGATTTACACAGTAAAGTATTTCTTGTTTTTACACAAAAGTCAAATTAAATTTAGCCACTGTAGCATTTTCTATCAGTCAAAATATTAAGTAATGGTTCAGAGATTGCCAGATGCCTCATCAGTGTCATGTGTAAATGTTAAATTTGTAATCGTATCTTGCCCTAACCAACATAAAAACCTAGCAAAATGGTGTGTGTGCAAGTGCATTGGTTTGTAAGTGTTGCATGACAGCTTTATTTAATAGAATCCCTGTAAACACAAAATTCTTTGCACCCACTGGTATTGCTGCTGTTCTTATCCCATCATAATGTATGCTCTAACTGTTTCAAAAAAAGTTTACTTCAAAATTTTTTTAAGTACTTCCTTTGTATATTTGAAGAGAATAATTCTCTTCTATTTTAGAAGCTTAAGCTTACTAAAGAGAAGAACAATTAGAGAAATTTATTTCAGGAACTATTATGAACACAACATAGAACTGACAAAAGGAAAAAGTGGGAGGTGCATTATGGAATCTGTGGAGACAAAGAACTTTGTCCATGGAGGCAAAAAAGAGGAATATACCTGAGTAGAGTGGTACCAACACTTTTGTGTGGGTGTATGGCATGAGTTTTGAATGTTGCGGTGAGAAGCTGGAGGCAGTAGAGATGTCATGTTTGGTGGGAGTGTGTAGTATGACTATTATACAGAGAACCCAGAGTTCGGAGATAACGAGGAATTGTGGAGTTGCCAAAGTATTACCCAGAAGGCTCAGGAGGCGTTGAGGTGGTTTGGACATTGGAGCAAAATAGGATGACTTGGAGGTTTTGAATGCTAGAGGCTTGGACATCCAACAGACATGGGTGAGGGTAGGCAAATGGTTTTTGTGACTTGATGAGCAATTTGAATGTGAGCAAGTTAATGTTTGTGAATGGCTTCAGCGAAACCAGTTAGCCAGACTTGAGTCCTGGAGTTGGGAAGTACGGTGCCTGCACTCTGAGGGAGAGGTGGGGATATTTGCAGTTTGGGTGTAAGAGGAAGACATCTGAACTGTTGTATCAGTTTGCCTCTGGCAAGACAGTGATAGTGAAAGTGTTTCTTCTTTTTTGGGTTGCCCTACGTTGATGGGAGATGGCTGGCGTGTTAAAAAAAAATAGATTCAAGGGCAATATCCTGGGTCATTATTCTTTCAACAAACTAGCCTTAACCTGGCTTATATAAACATTATATATTTTGTCCATAAATGCCTGTGTACCCTCAAGATCTTTTTTTTTTTTTTTTTTAACAAGTCTGCCATCTCCCACCAAGGCAGGGTGACCCAAAAAAGAAAGAAAATCCCCAAAAAAGAAAATACTTTCATCATCATTCAACACTTTCACCACACTCACACATTATCACTGTTTTTGCAGAGGTGCTCAGAATACAACAGTTAAGAAGCACATAACATAGATACACAACATATCCCTCCAAATTGCCAATATCCCAAACCCCTCCTTTAAAGTGCAGGCATTGTACTTCCCATTTCCAGGACTCAAGTCCAACTATATGAAAATAACCGGTTTCCCTGAATCCCTTCACTAAATATTACCCTGCTCACACTCCAACAGATCGTCAGGTCCCAAATACCATTCGTCTCTATTCACTCCTATCTAACACGCTCACGCACGCTTGCCGGAAGTCCAAGCCCCTCGCCCACAAAACCTCCTTTACCCCCTCTCTCCAACCCTCAAGATCATATACAAGGAAATCATTTACAAGGAAATCTTATGATATTACAGCTGTTTTAATATGTAATACTCATTGAAACATGAAAATAAGTTATTTTGACTTGGTTGGTAGACAGCACCCACCCAGGGAGGTACTACCATCCTGCCAAGTGAGTGTAAAACAAAAGCCTGTAATTGTTTTACATGATGTAGGATTGCTGGTCTCTTTTTTTTTCTGTCTCATAAACATACAAGATTTCAGGTACGTCTTGATACTTCTACTTAAACTTAGGCGACGCTAAACATACATGTACACATTTATGTATACACACTCGTCTGAATTTTCTCTGATTTTATCTTAATACAGTGGACCCTTGGTTTTCACATTTAATCCTTTCCAGAGCCATCAGCCATGCACCTGCACAAAAGAATGAACATTAAACACGACACTTACCTTTTTTGAAGGCTGTTGTTGCTGGAAGGAAGGCAGGGAGGAAGAGAGAAGGAAGATAGGTTATTGTTTAGAAGGGGAATCCCCCTCCATGAGGACACTAGGTACCAAGTCCTTATCTGGGGTCACTTCCCTCCTTTGTTTTTTAGTGTCACTAGGACCAGCTTGAGTCACTGGACCCCTGTTGCACAAAATATCTGTCCAGATAGGTCTGTTTCTGGCATCTCTTTAAGATTTTCCTAAAATGGGACATGGCATTGTCATTGTAAAAGTCACCAGCACAGATTGCAACAGCTTTCTCAGGGTGATGTTGCTCCACAGACGAATGCACTTTAGTCCACATTGCACAAATCTCCTTAATCTTTGAAGAAGGCACCTTCTTCCATCTCTCTTCCTCTTCTGAAGCAATTTCCTCAGTTGTGGTCTGTTGCTGTTGCAGATGAAGCTCTTGCAGCTCATCAGTGGTTCGCTCTTCATTGTGGTCCTCCACCAATTCTTCCACATCCATCAAACTTGCATCCAACTCCATGGAATTCCACAATGCCACAATTGATTGCACAGCAGGTGTAGGATCGACAGGGTCAGTCTCGAACCTTTCAAAATCCTTCTTTTGGACACAATCTGGCCACAATTTTCTCCAAGCAGAGATCATCATCCTGGAAGTCACTCCCTGCCAAGCCTTATCTATAAGGCCTATGCAGTGGAAGATACTGAGGTGATTCTTTCAGAACACACTTAGGGTCAATTCAGGGTCCGAGGTTATGTCATTGCAACTTTGAAACATTGCTTTGGTGTACAGTTTTATTAAGTTTGCAATGATCTGCTGGTCCATGGGCTGGAGGAGAGGAGTGGTGTTTGGAGGCAAAAACTTGTGTTACGAAACTGAATTCCTTAGACAATTGGTCTTCCAAGTCTGGAGGATCGACGAAAACTAAGGTAATCAATGAAAACTAAAGCCAAAAATCGACAAGAAAAGCAGGCCAAAACCAAAGTTGGCGATAACTAAGATCGACAAAAACAAAGGGTCCACTATAGTTCTTGTTCTTGTTGCTTTTCCTTTTATATCCATGGGGAAATGGAATAAGAATCTTTCCTCCGTAGGCCATGCATGTTGTAAAAGTCAACTAATATGCTGGGAACAATGGGCTAGTAACCCCTTTTCCCGTATAGCCTACTAAAAAGAAAAAGAAGAAAACTGTCAAAGTAGGATGTTTGAATGTGTGTGGATGTTGTGCAAATGATAAGAAAGAAATGATTGTGGATGTTATGAATGAGAAGAAGCTGGATGTCCTGGTTTTAAGTAAAACAAAGCTGAAGGGGGTGGGAGAGTTTCAGTGGGGAGAAATAAATGAGATTAGGTCAGAGGTTTCAAATACAGTTAGAGCTAAAGGAGTAGCAATAATGTTGAAGGATAAGTTATGGCAGGAAAAAAGGGAATATAAATGTAATAATTCAAGGATTATGTGGAGTAAAGTAAGGGTTGGATGTGAAAAGGGGGTCATAATAAGCATTTATGCACCTGGAGAAAGTGTAGAGGAGAGAGAGATTTTTGGAAATGTTGAGTGAGTGCATGGGGAGTTTTGAACCAAGTATGAGAGTACTTGTGGTTGGGGATTTCAGTGCTAAAGTGGATAAAAATGTTGTGGAGGGAGTAGTAGGTAAATTTGGGGTACCAGGGGTAAATGAAAATGGGGAGTCTTTAATTGAGCTATGTGTAAAAAGAGGTTTGGTAATAAATAATACACATTTTATGAAAAAAGAGGATAAATAAGTATACAAGGTATGATATAGCACATCATGAAAGTAGTTTGTTAGATTATGTATTGGTGGATAAAAGGTTGATGGGTAGTTTTCAGAATGTACATGTTTATAGAAGGGCAACTGATGTATCGGATCATTATTTAGTTGTAGCTGCAGTTAGAGTAAGAGGTAGACGGGACATAAGGAAATTGGCAACAAGTAAGTGAGATGTAAAAGTGTATAAATTAAGGGAGGAGGAAGTTAGGGTGAGATACATTAGGGCCCCACTTATTCGGCAGGTTAGGTTCCAGGCTACTGCCGGAAAGCAGAACTCCATTTTCTCCATTTATAAATGCATGTAAATGCCAGATATCAAGTTTAACGTACATTAAGTTAGCAATAGAACTAGGCATTAAAAAGTAAAATACACACACAGTACACTCATTATTTACCTCAAAATATTTGTAGTGTTAATGTAGGGCAAAAGGTGAGTAGTATTTACTCTAAAAAGTCAGGTGTGGTAGCCCTCCTGGCCACCCCACCCACACATACTATACTACGATGCTTAGAGCTCCCTAGAGCGATAAAATGCATATACAGTACATGCATTA